GTTGTCTTTCCTGGTTGATTTGTTGATGAGAAAAACTTATTAACTCTGTTTTGTTGATTTTACTCGAGTTTTGACGGGAGCCGGAAGCTGTGTTTCGAGTTGGTTGTTTGATTTTCTGTTTTCTTCTTGTGGCACGCCGGTGAAGAGAACTGGCATGTCCTAATAGTTTGTGATTGCTGTTAATAAAAGGGAAATTAAGCTAGAATTAAGGTTTACTAATTATATAATCGTGTTTGAGTTGAAGGCGAGCTGCTGTGTAGTTTAGGAAAATTGTGGGCGTGTTCATTGTGGCGAATAATGAACTAGATCAAAATGGCTCAATTAAATTCTACTGCTTCTTCTATTAGTAAAGTTTCTAGAAAAAAAAAATATATCAAACGACGCAATGCACCTTGGGTCGCTACGGAAACAGTCTCCTTGTATAATTACAAGGGTAAGGTCTGCGTACAACTGACCCCCTAGACCCCAACCAGTTGGGAATATACTGGGTGGGTATGTTGTTGTTGTTGTTGTTGTTGTTCATTGTGGCGAATTCCCGAAGATGAGAGAATAAAGCATGCCCGCCTCTTTTCTTTTTTGCACATTCCTCAAGTTTTGACATGATAAATATTTTCAGACATATGGGGTTCAGGGTTTGTTATCGTTGTGACTATGCGTGTCGTTTATGAGAGATTAAAAGGTTAGAGGAAAGTGCAGTTTTGATAGACAAGCTCAATGCATTGTACTTTATAGGTCACCACTTTTAGTGGTATGTAAAAGTTGAGTGCTTATGGCTTCTGATTTTCAGCTTTTTTATATACTGTATATAAAAAGAAACAGGATAATTGATAACTTTTTTTTTTTTTTGATGTGTTAGAACTGTGAAGTCCAGCCTCTATTATGAGAAACTAATAATGTTGTTATAAATGGAAGCCATTTGTTTAAGTATCCCGAGATTTTGAGTCTTACACTTGCAAGTCCGGTACTTGCTTTCAGATGCAGGAGCTGGTTGTACTCGATACAGTTTTCTAGTGTATGCTAGCTTCTGATCATTCTTGTTATCAATGGCAAAACTCTACTTTTTCCCTTTAGCGATTGCACTGCATGTATCTCTTTCTTAATTCCATGGTGAATGACTTGGTATTCCAGGAACAAGGAAAGTACTTGGATTTTATTAGCATGCTTAAGATACCTTAGATTGATTCCATTCTGAACTATACATTATTTAACTTCAAAGAAGAAATGCTCAAGACTTAAGCATAAAGAACTTGGAGATTTGAAGGATCTATGTATAGCATTGACATGACTGTCTAAAATCCTGGTGATTTTCCGCAATGGGATACATAGCAAACACATTTCACTGGTGTGGTAAGTCGTTTCTGTTTCCTCTGCCTTAGATCAATGAAGAAGCAAGTGAGAAAGTATTGGAAGTCGAACAGAAGTACAATGAGATTCGCAAGCCTGTGTATGATAAGAGAAATAGCGTCATCAAATCCATTCCTGATTTCTGGTTGACTGCTGTAAGTGATATTCTTGTCGAGGAGTTGAACAAATGATACATGCTATGTGGTTGACAATTCTGCTTTTGCTATAAGATATCTGTATTCCTGTGATTGATGTGTTCCTTGTTTTAACAGTTTTTGAGTCATCCTGCCCTCAGTGAGCTTTTGACAGAAGAAGACCAGAAGGTTTTCCTTTGTCTCTTCAGTTTCTGTTACAATAGGAAAGTGTAGAAATTGTGCATTTTTTTTATCTTTACTGTATTTACTGTAAGCTTACCTTTCTTGCATTAGATCTTCAAGTATTTAAGTAACCTTGAAGTGGAGGATTGCAAAGATGTGAAATCTGGTTACTCCATTACCTTTGTGAGTTCAATCAATCTTCCCTGCCATCTTCTAATTCTTCTGTGATGTAGGAAATGCTAATATGTTGTAAATATTTGAAGTTTTTGAGGTGATCTTTTCTTTATCTCTTAGCACTTCAAACCCAATCCCTACTTTGAAGATACTAAGCTCACAAAGACCTTTGCCTTCCTCGAGGAGGGGACAACAAAAATCACAGCTACATCAATAAAGTGGAAAGACGGAATGGTAATTTTCATATATAGTCAAATTATTTCATTGTCTGTATTTGCAATGTTTTGATTTGTGCTTGTCTGGCATCTGAAGGGTATTCCTAATGGTACTGCTGAAGAGAAGAAAGGAAATAAGCGGTCTCATGTTGAAGAGAGGTTGGGGCCTTATCTCTTTATTGTCTATACTTCTCCTTTTGGCTTTTGTGTTCTTTCTCTTTTTAATTTAATATTGTTTTAGCCGAAAAAGTGTCTTTGTCCATTGGTAAATAACTCCCTCAAAACTTTTCTATTCTCTTAGTCAAATGTTTGCCTCCAGCTCCAAATGGTTTTGGTGTCTAAACATGCTTCGTGTGTTTTGAGACTGCTAGCTGATCTATTACATACTTTTCTAATATAGTGAAATACTCCATTTGAATAACTAAACATAAAAATATAGTTTTTGCCTTAGGCTATGTTTGGTCAACCTAGCTGATAAGCTATAAGAGATTAGTTAGCTGATAGCTTACAAATAAATTTTCAGCTAATAGCTGGTAGCTTACACCTGAAAAACTAGCTGATATAATAGAAGTGTTTGGTAAAATTTGATGATAAGCCAACTGAAATAAAAATTTCAACAAGCTTCTTTGAAAAGCTACCCAAGGAAGCTTAAGAGATAAGCTCGAGCTTTTTAAAACAACCCGTCCTACCAAACCAAGCTTATTTGAATACAAGAAGCTACTAAGCTAATCAAATAAGCTATAAGCTAGCTTATTTTGCTTACTAAATGCACTCTTAGTCTTTACCCATGTCAGAGAGTGCTGTTTTTTATGACTAGACACACGTTATCTCAATGTATTATTTTTTCTGGAGGACAGTCAGTAACATTGAAAATTGTTAGTCTATCCTTTATCCACCCGTGGCATAGATTGCTAACTTGAAGTTAAACTGTGAAATGCAGCTTCTTTTCCTGGTTTAATGATTCCCAGCATAGTGGGGACATTGAAGAAATTCAAGATGAGGTAAACATTGCCCTGTAGATTACCAAATGACTTGCGTGCTTTCTTCAAATTGACACTTTTTTTAAAAAAAATGTATTTCATCCTTATTTTTGTAGCAGGTTGCTGAAATCATCAAGGATGATTTATGGCCAAATCCACTCTCGTATTTTAACAATGTAAGCTTTCCTTATCGACTAACCACCTCGGCAAATTCAGAGTGCTTTTTAACGTTTCACTTTTTAGCTTATGACGTATATCCAATGACCTTTTATGTTAGGATGCTGATGAGGAGGAGTTTGAAATGGAAGATGATGAGGTAATGAGAAAAGGGCCCCTTAAAAATTACTTTGCCTCATTATTATTGTATTTAAGTTGTGAACAGCTAGCCATCTTTGGTTGATGGTTTGTTTAAATCATGGAGGTTTTTGTTCCTATAAGGTATACAACTTGGATCAAATTGGGAAAAAAACTACTATACTGTAGAAGTATTAAATTTGTGAGAAACGAACCAACTTTTTTTCTCGATGGTAAATTTTTGTAATCCAACTCAAGATTTATGGATACTAATAAATGTTGGGAGAATAATGTTGACTGTCTGAGACCCGTTTCTGGTTAAGATTTTATTCACTAGTGATTCATTTATACAATCCTTACAGGATAAAGACAGTGATGCTTCTGAAGACGACGAGGACGAGGAGCAAGAAGATGAAGATGATGAAGCTGATGATTAATATAAAAGATATCATGGTTTTTTCCAAAGTAGCCTTGAAAACAATGGACTTGGTTTTAAGTTTGTGTTGTTGCTTTGCATCTCCAAAACTGCTGACATTATGGGCCAAGTCTTTGTATATGGCTGGGACCATTTTTCTTCCTATTGGCAATGGAGTATAGCTAAATTATCTTAATGTGTAAAGTTGGCTTCTGAGAATGGTATAAGGCCAAAATTATTTATTATCTTGCGAAAAATAGATACATATTAATTAATACACAATAATTACAGATTAGAATTAGTAGAATAACAATACACAAAGATATGTGGGAGTTCTATATCCAGCCTAAATGGATTGATACAATTTCAACGAACTTATTTGTGGGCCCATCTGTTCCTTGGGCTCGTTGAATCACGAGTCAGTAACTAGGAGTATAAAATGTAGACACAATATAACAAATACTATCTTTTATTCTTTTTAAATGTCATTTTAACTTTATCAACCATTAATCAAATAAATAATCTTTTGGATCTTTATACATATTTTTCCAATTATTAACTTTATTTAGCTAATAAATATACGACACAATTTTCATATTCACCTTTTATATCCATCTCTATCTTCATTAATGAGAATTATTATTGACAAAAAAATTTAATTGCTGTGCAATTTTTCAAAAACGACATTTATTATGAATAAGAGAACGTAAAACCTTGTGCACTTATATGCCTAACCTTGTGACTTGATCCGTTGAAGTCAAATTCCACAACTTCAATCTAATTATGATGAGCAATTATGAAAACAAATAGTGCTATATGGCCCGAATTTGTATTAAGAATAGATGAGTTTACACCTAACGGCCCAACCAACTGATTTTAACAGGCTTTCATGGCCCAAAAAAACTGAGCTTGAAATTCACTTTCCCCCAGAAGAAAATTACCGAAGTCGCAAAATTGCTGCTTTCGAGCTTGTGTTTTCTCGTGTAACCATGTGGGGTTCTTGAAATTTGATTCAAGAACTAGAACCCGTAATCATTATGGATCGAAAAACCCTCAAGGCCTTGATGATTGAATAATCGACGAATGCTAGAACTTCGTAGCCCCGACACGAAGTGATGGCTAGAGGGAGATTCAAGAATCGGTGGCCCACTTTTCTGAAGATCACTGTAATATGGTCAATCTGCGCGCTTACCTTTTTCTGTCTCTTCAAGGTGGCTCTGCGGAGCCCCTCACCTCCTGTGGATAGTAATGCCCATCGGCCCACTGTTGCAAGTAATGTCTATTTTTTCTTGTTTTGTTGATTCATTAGCTTGTGTGCAAGATCTGTCTGTAGATTATACTTGAATGGGCTTTGGTATTCTTGGTTACAGTTTTTGATATTGGGTGCAGAAGTGTGAGCATGTGCGCGTTCTTGTTTATTAATGAGGAGTGGTGTAATGGGATGCCACTTTTTAGCTAGAAAGAGATTCTGTCGGGAAGTTGTAAAAGTTATTATTCAACTTAAATTGTTTAGTTAAGTTGTGTTGGTATGGAGGTATTGTGTAAAAAAATTGTTTTATTTATTGGTTAAAATTTTAATCTTTTTAGTGTTGTTGTGTAGATATGGCTGCTTGGGTATGAGCGTTGGTATTTGAGGTTTATAGTTCTTGAAATTAGTTGGAATAGTGTGTGAATTTGTGTGTTCTTATGTAAAGGGATGCTATTTTTTTAGCTAGAAGGGGATTCTGCTGAAAAGTTGTAAAATTTATTTGTTTAACTTCATCTGTTTAGTTCTGTTGTGTGGATATGGAGGCACTGTGTAAAAAATTGTATATTTTATTGTTTTAAAGATTTGATCTTTCTCTTGCTGTTCTGTAGATTTGACTGCTTGGGTTTCTGTCCGTTATTCTCTACATCTTGGTTATCGGATGATCGAATTCTTAAATCTCGAAGTGCTTGGTTTTGCACAAGAGTAATATATTTCGTTTATTGTGATTGATATGTAGCAGCTCTATTTTAGTTCTTCAGAATAAATAAAATATCAGTTGTCCATTTTTCTGCCAAATTCTGTTATACCTCGAGGCCACGTCATGTCAATGAGAAAAGAACGAAAAAGGAATTAAGAATAAGAGTCCGAATTTCGGCTGAGCTCTTTTATTCTTGATAGGAAGTGCTCAAATTTTCAGTTTATTCTTGGTATTGTATTCACCTCATATCGAAAGATATCTCATGCGAAATTTAACTAGAATTTGAATTTTGCCGCAGATTCTTATACATATGCAGAGCAAAGATCAATACTTTATGCGAAAATGGCGAAAGAGTTGGATGAGAAAGGACCTGTTTTTCTTAAACAAGGAGAAACTTCTCAGTCTTTATCCCTCTCAGATCTTTTCACGCTGAAGAGTGGAATGCTAACACCTGTGCTGAGGGTAAAATATCATTTATCTTTTTAGCTACCTTTTTGTTGTGATAACTCCCTTGTAATGAAAAATGTGTTCCTTTCATGTAGGCTGCTGATCCTCCAGTACGGGCAAATGTGTTGCATTTAAGCGCTCAGTTCTCAGTCCCAATCTCGTGAGTTTTCATTTGTATTTAAGCCATACGTGTGGATCAATGTGGGTTTTATTCTGTATGTTTTAGTTCATTATAAGCTCTGCTTGCGATAATTATTTGCTTGTATAGCATTTGTCTTCAAAAATTTTTATAGCTTTTTTGTCTTATTTTAGATTATTGATGAAATGTGAAATTGAAATTTATAGCTTTTAGTCTTTTGAACTCATTCAACATGAATGCTGGATATTTATGGTATTCTTACTTGCAGGAACATTGTGAATCATACCTTCTCCCCATACTTTGATAAAGGTAATATATTTCTTTTTCAGCCCTGCCATTAGACACGATTATTATGGAGCTTTTACATTGTTCAGGATCCATGATGCTGAAGTTGATTTTGTTATTTTATTTTAAGGATAATTGCAAAAAAGAACTTTTATAGGTTTGTGCTTCGTTCCAAGAAAAAACAAAACTTGAATCACTAACACTTAGAAATATTTCCTTTTTGCAAGAACATGGCAAGAGCTGAACAAATTTGCCAATATAGATCTCTCTCGGTTTGTTTTTTAATTGTTATTTTTTATTTAGTTATAAATGTGGTAGTTCAATATAAATCCCCTCAATGGGTGAAATTTGTTAACAGGCATAATAATAACCTCTAATGGTTTTCTTTTCTAGTTATACATTAAATGTTGAAGGACAAACTTGCAATAACCTGTAATTTTCATGTAACTTATACATTCACAAATTTTATCCGTGTTATTTTTTTTTTTTAATTTTTCTTTAAGGAAACTAATAAGATTTCATCTTAGCAATATGGTTTCAGGACCCTAACATATACCACTTTAGCATGTTCCACGCCTCACATCACATAACACCTGTCCCCGCCACATCAGCAGAGGTAAGCATATTTCTGTTCCCAATTCTTTAAAGGCTACGTTTTGTAAACCCAGCTTATCAGCTAGCATATTTATAGCTTTTAAGTGAATTTCGAGCTGATAGCTGATAGTTTATGACTTATGGCTGAAAAACTAGCTTATATGATAAAAACGTTTGGTAAAATTAGCTGAAATAAAAATTTCAATGAGCTTATTTGAAAAGCTACCGAAGGAACCTTATGAAATAAACCCGTCCTACCAAACAAAGCTTATTTGAATACATGAAGTTTATAAGATAATTTAAAATAAGCTATAAGCTAGCTTATATGCTTACCAAACACAGCCAAACATATTTTTCATTCTCTTTCTCGCAAAGTATTAAGAAAACTGCATGAAAAATGCTCGGATTCCCAGGTTGAAGGTGAAGTTACAGCTGTAAAAGCTGTTGCAGATAGTATCTGCCCTATCCACATTGCCCTTAACCGGGTGGTTCTAACTTCAACGGGCGTGTTGCTCGGCTGTTGGCAGGTATTGTTATTATTATTATTATTATTATTATTATTATTATTATTATTATTATTATTATTATTATTATTATTATTATTATTATTATTATTATTATTATTATTAAGTACAGTTATTTTTATTATTGCTATATGTTGTTTAACACATCATAATCATCCCGAACAATGGATTCTTATATTGATGATTTTATTAAAAGGTCTGTTGATTGATTTTCTACGTGCACAGTAAATCTTTACGAGTCTCCTGAAAAAAATTTGAAAATTTTTGCTTTCTGTGTGTACTACATTAACTTATTTAAAGTATGCTGATTGCTCTCAGGTGGTCTCTGGTGTCGACCCAGTTACTATCCGTTCTAAATTAAAAGATGCTCTTCCACGTGCTCCTCGAAAACAGCTTGTAAGGATTAGACTTAACATTTTCTTTAACATTTGTTGTTTCTGTTAATTGTGTAACGAATCAAAGGTGACTTAATGCAAACACTTGGCAATTTATAGCTACAAAATGAAAATCGTCTTTTTTCCTTCCTGACCGTATTTTTTTTTTGTTTTAATTATGATTTTCAATATCAAAGGTACTTTCTGATGATCATCTAATTATTTTTTTTATGCCTCAGTATGATGATGTGATACTTCATACTTCATTCGCAAGGCTTCTGGGTTCGCCTAAGAGGTGCACTGAGGTATTTGGCAGTGAATGACTGTTATATCAACTAAGAGGAAAATCATATTCTCATCGCCTTTTTATTGTTGTTTTCTTATTTTGTTTTTCCTTCTTTCTCCAAATCCATTTAAACAGGAGGAAAAGAAAATGTCCGATATCCAGATTTTTCACAAACTGGTGGAAAGAGTAAACAGCAAAATCCAGGGAATGAAGGTACTCATCTCTGCTTAGCGAGGCAATCTTTTGTTTATTTGTATAAAATTCAATTGATTTCATTGTCATTATTTTTTCAATTTGATCCGTTTCTATTATATCGAAACTTAATCTGATCAGTGTTTGCTTTATAATTCCAAATGATTCGATGAGGTGCATAAATGCTTGATTTTATAGTATATTTCCTGGTTAAGGGGTCATTTCAAATTCGAAAGCTACCTTCTTTTTGTTATTATAAACTGAATCTCATTGGGTAGTTCTTACTATTAATTAACTCAATTCAATATTATTCGACATCGCTCAGTAGAATAATAGTGGTAAATTTCTTGAAACGTTGTGCATTTGTCCGTTTATTTTACAAACTCAACATTATCCCATATTTTTCGCGTCGATTATGGCAGGCCACAGTTTCGGAACTCTGGTACGTGGAAGAATACAATTTGCTTGCGCTTGCTTTAAACGGGAAAATGAAGATTCGAAAGTTCGATTTCGGTTGTTCGGAAGCCTAATGATATAGCAATGTTTATCAAAATGGCTAAATTTGAACTCATAAATTACATTCAAGGATTAGTTGAGTGTTATCATTGCTATTACTTGGTTCTTTCATTTGTCTTGTTTTCAGGTTTTTCTTTCACATGCATGAGGAAAACTGGAAAGTATAGATTTAGATTTTTGTATAGTGATGAAAAGGATTAAAATATGTAAGCCATCAAATGGCATGTTATAGAAAATGTGTAGACTTGTTTATTATAAGTATTTTGGTACAGTTGATAACTCATAATCAATTATTTTATTATGTAGTCGTTACAGACGACATTTTTTCATATGAAACGAGTCGAGTTGGGCTCGACTCGTTAACCAAACGAGCTTTAAATGATTTTAGCTTGGCTCGTTAAGGCCTCAAGCTCGAGCCTTAATGAGCCGAGCCAAGCCAGACTCATTTAATTTATAGCACCACGACCAATGAATAAGACACTCGGTTCAACTCAGGATAGAAGCAACTGTAACAGAAAACAAAGATGTTTGCCACGATTTTTATTATACCAATTAATTGGGATGACCGAATTCTAGCATACAGGCAGCAATAAAAGTAGAACTAGAAAGCAAGAACCCTAAATTTCTTTCGAACAGCAATTTTCTCTGGCATTGTTCTGCAAGTCACGCAAAAACACGAGAAAAGAAAAGAAAAAAGGATAAAAATTGCACAGGGATCCACTTTTGGGATTTATGCTCTTTTCTCAACATAAGAACCAGAAAGTCCAGAAGTTGCAAGAACCGTGACCTGCAATGTACATGAAACGAATATAAAGTACGTATTTACAAGAATTCCAAATTAGATGAAAGGAAAAACTAATTAGTTGGCTATCGAAAACATATTAGATTCTGTCGGCTCCCAGCAGAGATAGTAAATTAGTAACCCATCAGGCAGTTCGTTTTGTATTTACCTTCCAGATGCACTTCTTGAGGGCATTCGTAAAAGATAAAAAAAAAAAAGCGAATATCAAGAGGATATATTTGGAAGGAAATTTGTACTTCGTGGGTCTAGGTTAAAATTATAAAGGTCTTTCATAAATAACTTCATCCAAGATATATTGTTATCAGAAGAAACTACTATTTATTTTGCTTGTGTGCCACCTCTTGTATCTACGCTAACTATTTCTCTACGGCTTTGAAGACTTTGAAGACCAGCTACTAAACTTTCTGTGGTAGAAAATCGAACCGTAAACATGATCTACTTTTAAAAGTAGAAAATTATAATTTATAATTCAGAAAAAAAGAAATAATACCTTCCCCCACTCAGCATCAAGGCCCCCACACCTCATTTTCAAGTATATCATTTTTGTTCCCAACTCCGTTTCCACTTTCTTCTTCAAATAAGTCTCTTCAGGTCCAAACGCAGCTAGATACACCGCATATCTATCGAAAATAGTCTGCAATGCCTTTGAATATTCTTCGGTCAGCGGTTTCACATTCTGCAAACAGGAAAATTATCAGTTCTGGTAACCAAACAAGGCGGGGATAGGCACGTGACGTGAAGTGTCCCAGAGTTTAAGTCCAGATATGAAAAAATGCTCAGTCATCTTTTACAACTACAATTAACCCCCTGAGATTTGTATTCATTTGACAAAAGCATACCTTCAAGAGAGGTACAAAATCATCAAGGGGCATTTGTAATTTTAAAAGAGAAGTGGATTGATTCCATAATTAGATTAAACTACAGGGGGTCATCATAGTTTCGGTTACCTCGCCACTAAGGCCAATGACATCGTCCAATTCCATTTTCAGTGACATGATAACCCCAGTAAATTCCTCAACTGCCTCGGCTGCCCGAAAAACATTTTTAAGAACATCCTGAGCAGCTTTGTCTTCCGTGTTCTTTGACAATGCATTTTTAACGTCATAGACGATTGCTGGTGAAAGCTCATCCCAATTTGTGGCCATTAAGTCTTTAAAAGCACGCTCAATCTCCTGATCTTTTATAACAGGCATATGCGTAACATCTTCACTGAAAAACCGAGTGTTCCCAGGACACATTGCAAAAGGATGCATGACATCTACAGGAATCAAATATCAAGAATACATGATCCCAAATTTGTATTAAACTCAAAACTAAATCTCAACTAGATATTTACAAACTATATGCAGGCATAACCACACCACACCGCTCATTATTCCGTACACAGTCCTTACAATGAGCAAGATTGTAAAGCTAATAGCAGTATGATACACTACATATGTAAGATAAATCAAAAGACAGATAACTCGGTTTCTACATTATATTTGTCCCAAAATTATTTCCCAAAGCAAAACCCAAAACACATAAATATGTCATGAACTTGGGAAATTCGAAAATGAAAATAAAAAGACATGGGCACTGAGCTTTTTGAACCATCTATTGAAGTAAGGAGATTAAGAAGTTTTTACCATATCAAGTCTCTTCCCCCTTTTTCGTCGACTCAAAAATCATAAGCGACAAACATATAGACAGTTACGGCAGAGTATTATAAAGCCCTTTCCCTATGTTCGGAAGAAATTAAATTACAATTACAAGCTCTTCCTTCTATAGCTTGAAAGAACCAAAGCGATTATGATTGGAAATCTAGTTTCATTATTTCACACAACGACACTCAATAATAAACATTAAAAACAGCTTCTTTGCTTCTATTAAGTGCCATCTCAATTCCATCTCCATGGTCCAATTTACTTCTGAATAGACATTTCATCAACCAAATTTTTAATTCACTATTAAAAATCCAGAAACCCTACTACATCTAATGACTGGAAATCTATAACTTGCTGCAATATAAAGGTGAAAATTTCAGTGAACACGAAAGTAACATCGCAACATCCATAGCTAATACGGAGCAAGAAAGGATAACTGCAGGTTCCACTGGCAACGATTAGAACAACAAAACGAATTATTCAAAAGCAATTACGTCGATTACGAGAGGATGCGGGAAGCGACGGGGGAGAGAAATGGAGGTGGCGGATACGGCAGTTAACGGCGGCGCCGGCGGAGGAAAAATGTTGAGATCGGCGGATGATTGAGCGGCACAGCGATCTCATCAGCATCATCTTCTCCATCTTTTTTTTTTTTTATTCTTTTTCTTCGAGTAGTGTCTCTATCTAGTCTCCGACGAACTATATAATTCCAATTACAATATTGATTTAAATTGTATTAATAATGCGATTAAATTTAGATCAATCATTAGTATATTTTGATAGAGATTAATTAATTAATAAAAAGAAGCATCAGTCGTGTTATAAACTTATAATTCATCTTATTTTCTATTTTATGTTATATTATAATTCATCTTATTTTCTCAAGAGAGCTTGGATGAGATGGTTTGAGTCTCTTCCAGTTTAACCAGTGGTTTCGTGTTCGAACCCTATGAATGCTTAAAACTCTTGAGGAAGAATTTTGCGGCCCTTGTGGTCCTACCCAACTCAATTTCGGATTAGTCGGTTCTCCTGTGAATCCAAAAACCGAAAGGTCCCTGTAACAAAAAAAATATTTGAATGGCAAATATATATGTATTTATGATGCCGAGAGATATTATTCGTACCAAACTATTAGCCTATTAAGTTTTATTCAGTTTATGAAAGCTCGAAATTCACTTTTATATTTATTTAAAAGGAGTGGAACTCAAACAACTAATAGAATTTGAATTACTGAATTTTTTTTTTTCCCTTTAATTTTTTATAGATTTCAAATGAGCAGCCAATTCAAACATATTCTCAAACGTAAAATTTTTGTTCGCAAACAACTCAGACCATGTTGTTCGAGTTAAGCCTTTGGCTCTTTCGTTAAACGAGCACGAACTCAAATCGTGTTCGAATGAGAAGTGCTCAACTCGAACTCGAATCATACGATGCCACAATTGTATATATGTGAGCCATTTATCTAATATAAAAAAAAAAACAAAAGAAAAGAAGATTGAGCATTGACCATTAAAAACTAAACTGATGTAGAACGTGATACGAAAAGGGCCCTCTCGAGATACTCTCTCAAGAAGAATAGTAAAATTGAGATACTCTCTCAAAGAAAAGAACAGATAATTTTATTTCTCAA